AGCACCTCCAACACCACCACCACAACCTCCAACAACACCAAGAGCAACACCGCCTCCAACACCACCACCACCTCCACCACCACCAAAAGCACCGCCACCGCCACCAGCTTCCCACAAACGCGCCCAGTCATGGCGTCAGGCGGACAGGCTGTCATCCGCCCTCGGGACTCTCGGGCAGGAGGAGCGGGAAGGCCGTCTGCCTGCATGGCTGTCTGCGGGCGTCTGCTGCTGGCTTTGTTGTCTGCTTATCCTCTCGCCTCAATGCATGTGTGTGTGTGTGTGTGTGTGTGTGTGTGTGTGTGTGTGTGTGTGTGTGTGTGTGTGTGTGTGTGTGTGTGTGTGTGTATGTATTTATGTATGTATGTATGTATGCATGCATGCATACATGTATGTATGTATATATGTATGTATGTATGCCTGTATGCATGTATGTATGCATGTATGTATGCATGTATGCATGTATGTATGTATGTATGTATGTATGTATGTATGTATGTATGTATGTATGTATGTATGTATGTATGTATGTATGTGTGTGTATGTATATATATATATAAATATGTATGTATGTATGTATGTATGTATGTATGTATGTATGTGTGTGTGTGTGTGTAGTGTGTATATGTGTATATATGTGTGTGTGTGTGTGTGTGTGTGTGTGTGTGTGTGTGTGTGTGTGTGTGTGTGTGTGTGTGTGTGTGTGTGTGTGTGTGTGTAGTGTAGTGTAGCGCGTGCGTATATTTGCATGTACGTGTGTATGATCTGTTCTGCTACTGTATCATAATAGCGACGGCGGTGACCTCGTAAAGACACCTACCCCCCCCCCCCTCCTATAGACAGGATCTCTCCAGACGTCCTTTGTCACAAGGGCAGACGCGGAGGGCGTCGAGGCACAGGGCAAAAGGGCGAGATTGGAGGAGAGAGAATAGGGGAGCAGGGGGGGGGGGGGTAGAGGGTGAGAGCTATTCTTCTCCTCGTTTCTTCTCCGCCGTAGCTTTCACTTCAAACACGTAACGCAACGATTCCTCCTCCTCCACCGCCGCCGTCGTACGATCTCTTGCGGTTTGCGCCTCGTCCAATCCCCGCGCAGGAATGTGCCGGTCACGTGACCATTTCACAACCAATTAGATCACGAGCGGCGGGGGGGGGACAGGGGGAGGGATGGCCAAGACGACCAATCACGTGGCGCCGACGCTCCTCGCCTGACCCGCCTCTCGACCTATCACAGGCCGCCAAGAAAATAAAGGAGAAAAAAGACGAAAAAAATAAGGAAAGAAAGAGGGCGACGACTTCAACGAGTCTCCTTTTCAAGAAACCAAATACGGGGACAATGGGAGGGCAATTGTCGCGTTTTCTTTAGTATTATTATCATTATCATTCCCCCTTTCATCGCGTTCCCTCTTTTAACAATTGGTCTTTGTGGGATGGAGGTGTGGGGGAGGGGGGAGGGGGGAGGGAAGAGGAGGAGAGGGAGGTGGAAAAGGAGAGAGAGAGGGAAAAGGAGGAGAAGGAGGTGGAAGAGGAGGGGAGGAGGAAGAAGAGACGGAGGGGAAAGAGGAGGAGAGGGAGGGGGAAGAGGAGGAGAGGGAGGGGGAAGAGGAGAGGAAGGGGGAGAAGAGGAGGAGGAGGGGGAGGGGGGAGAGGAACCGAGACCACTAAGCTTTTACATTTGCCCTTGTTTGCCTCATTATGTTAACTTAAAAAGAAAAAAAAATAGAAGGAAAGACACACACACACATACATACACATACACACACACACACATACATACACATACACACACACACACACACATACATACACATACACACACACACACCACACACACACACACATACATACACATACACACACACACACATACATACACATACACACACACACACACACACATACATACACATACACACACACACACACCACACACACACACACCACACACACACACACATACATACACATACACACACACACACACATACATACACATACACACACACACACACACCACACACACACACACATACATACACACACACACACACACACATACATACACATACACACACACACACATACATACACATACACACACACACACACATACATACACATACACACACACACACATACATACACATACACACACACACACATACATACACATACACACACACACACATACATACACATACACACACACACACACATACATACACATACACACACACACACATACATACACATACACACACACACACACACACCACACACACACACACACACATACATACACATACACACACACACACACATACATACACATACACACACACACACACATACATACACATACACACACACACACATACATACACATACACACACACACACATACATACACATACACACACACACACACACATACACACACACACACACACACACACATACATACACACACACACACACACACATACATACACATACACACACACACACACATACATACACATACACACACACACACACACACACACACGCCATACCCAAACTCTCGCCCCCTTCGCACCCGCGGACACCACAGCTGCAGACACGCTCCATTCTCCCCTCCCCCTCCCCCTCCCCCTCCCCCTCCCCCTCCCCCTCCCCCTCCCCCTCCCCCTCCCCCTCCCCCTCCCCCTCCCCCTCCCCCTCCCCCTCCCCCTCCCCCTCCCCCTCCCCCTCCCCCTCCCCCTCCCCCTCCCCCTCCCCCTCCCCCTCCCCCTCCCCCTCCCCCTCCCCCTCCCCCTCCCCCTCCCCCTCCCCCTCCCCCTCCCCCTCCCCCTCCCCCTCCCCCTCCCCCTCCCCCTCCCCCTCCCCCTCCCCCTCCCCCTCCCCCTCCCCCTCCCCCTCCCCCTCCCCCTCCCCCCTCCCCCTCCCCCTCCCCCTCCCCCTCCCCATTATCCCTCTAGATACTTTCCGTGTGCCAATTTCATCCCGGAGTCAATCTCTATGCATCAAAATGGCTTATTTGCGCGGCTGGGATATGAAGCTACGTATAAGCCTCATATCTCCCTCCCTCCCCTTCCCTATTCCCGCCCATACCCAAGGTTCCCTCTACTCCTCCCCCTTCCCTTCCCTCCCCTCCCCTTCCCTTCCCTTCCCGAAGCAAGCGGGGAAATATGCCCGGAAATGCTATAGTGCTATAAATGCTAATAACTACTAAGAAAAGGTGAAATAAAAAAAAACTAATAGACACACATACCACAAATTCTACCGATTGCATGCAACACAGATTCCACCCATGTGACACAGATTCCACCCAAATGACGCACGCTCCGCCCATATGACACCAAAGCCACGTACACGAGGCGAGGCTGACCCAGCCACACACATACACACACACATACGCACAAACATACATACACATACACACACACACACACACACACACACACACACACACATACATACACATACACACACACACACACACACACACACACACACACACACACACACACACACACACACACACGCCATACCCAAACTCTCGCCCCCTTCGCACCCGCGGACACCACAGCTGCAGACACGCTCCATTCTCCCCTCCCCCCTCCCCTCCCCTCCCCCCTTCTTCCCCGTGACACCATAACATCATATCCCCTTACGCGAACGAAAGCCAGCGCTGTCTGTTACTTGGTCGTCTCTACTTTTGCATCTTCTCCCTTATCTATTTTTGTCTAATAATCCTCTTTACTCTCGTTCTTCAATCTATCATAGCCTATCGCGGAAAGGGAGGGGGGGGGGAGGAAAAGTAGGAGAGGGAGGGAGGAAGAGAGGAAGTGAGGTATGTATGGCAGTGGGAGGGAGGGAGGGAGAGAAAGAAGAGAAAGAAAAGAAAAATAAGAAAAAAGATAGATCGAGAGAGAGAGAAGAGAGAGAGAGAGAGAGAGAGAGAGAGAGAGAGAGAGAGAGAGAGAGAGAGAGAGAGAGAGAGAGAAGAGAAAGAAAAGAAAAAATAAGAAAAAGATAGATAGATAGTTAGATGAATAGATAGAGAAAGAGAAGGGAAGAAGAGGGAAGGAGGGACAAAAGAAAGCCGGTTTCGGGGGAAAGGGGGAAGAGAGGAAGGTAAGGTGGGGGGAAATGAGGGAAAAGGATAATGAGATTGGGAAGAAGGCTGAAAATCAGAAAAAAAAGAGAGAAAGAGAGAGAAGAGTAAGTGGTAATGGTGGGTGGGTGGGTGGGGGGAGGGGGAGGGCAGTAGGCATCTTGAGAAAAAGAAAAGAAAAGAAAAGAAAAGAAAAGAAAAAAAAACGCATACCAATCCCTGAAAAAAATAAACTTTCCGCTCTGTCGTTTTGGATAAACAGTGCCACCAAAGTCTAAATATAACACTTTTACCTGTCCTATTTCTATTTATGAAGAGGATGGGATACTTTTCTATCTTTCACCTGCCTCGGTGCCAACACATACCTGAAGAAAAGAGAACCAAAGAATTAGAACATAGGCCTATTTCGCCCATGGCTTATTTGGAGCCGTCACTAGTAAGATGATGGCGGCTGAAAGGTATAGCATAAATAGTAAATTAAATACTTCTTTAAATAATCCAACAAACCTGCTGCTCCACATACTGCAATAACGAGCTTTCCATCTATATAATCTATGATTATCATTAACTAATAACATCATTATAGTTACTGCTATTACTACCGCTATCATTAATATTATGGCTATTATCATAATCACTATATCATGGTGGTGGTTGTGGCGGTGATGGTGGTGGTGATGATGATGGTGGTGGTGATGGAGGAGGAGGAGGAGGAGGAGGAGGAGGAGGAGGAGGAGGAGGAGGAGGAGGAGGAGGTGATGGCGGTGATTATCATCATCATTATTATAATCATTGTTATCATGAACAAAATCATAGTTCAGTTACTATTTTCATTTACCATCAGTATTATTTTCATCGTCACCATCACTTTGCCATTATAACCACTGCAACTATAATAAAAATTAAA